CACAAAGAATACTAAGAAATCATTCATATCAAATCCATAAAATAGTCCCCCATAATATGGTAAGTGTCCTCTGGTATATAAGTTACCTTTACCATGCCCTAATGTACCAACTATTTTAGCAGAAATAAGGAAATTGGTAAAATCGTATGTGGAAGGACTTCACGAGCTTGCTTTCTTGCTTAATAAAATAATTTTAGGAAAACAACTGCAATGTACTAAATCCTTTGAGCTGGTGGTTGAATGCAAGTAATATTCTATGGATTATATTTACGTCTCGATGATCAGGTGGCTATTATTTGTACACGGTTTTTAATGAGAAATGAATCTAGCACTCTAAAATTCATTTCCCAATGAATGGGAATCGTTTTATAAACTGAAAAACGTCTACCTTTCTTAAAGAAGTGAGAGAGAGAAGATGCTATATATATATAAACGAAAGGGAATAGCGGGGAGAAGAACAAAATGATTATTATAAAAGAGTAGTCGTGAAAATTGCCCAACAGCCGGTACTGCAGCCAGAGACCTATTGTACCATGAACAAAACAAAATGATAAAGAAGAGGGATAAGGAAAAGAGCAAAAAAAGATATAAGAAAAGGAAATAAAACAGTAGAAAACGTAAAGTACGTATTATAAAACATCGTTTTCAAGAAGCAAATTATTTTTTTACAAACAATTTGATAACACATTAGCCATTAGATTATATTTTGTTTTTAATAATAATGACATATATTCGTGACATATATATAGGTATAATATGCATTATTGCTTCAGTTATTAAGATTTTAGTTCCAAATTTCGTTGTAAAGTACAAAACCAAAACCAAAGTTATTTTTACTAATACAACGTGATATGATATGGTATACACTATATCACCATTTTATCAAATATCCAACATATTGAAAAGCAAAACGTTGCAATCAGTCATTTCTATGTTCTGTGTTAATTAATACAAAAAGAAAGTCTCTAGTAAAAGCTAAAAATGTACAATTTATAAATATAAAATATGGATGCTTAAATATTATAATTATTAAATCTATTTTAAATTACGACTGGGAAAGAAATTCTATACGGTTTTATCTGTCGTTTCAAAAATTTCAGTGCATTGCACCTTGCAGCAATATCTGCAAAGTATAGCTAAATTAAATGTTTTTTGCAATATTTAATTACTGTCAAAATAAATAAATATATTAACTAAATATTTTACTTCCAAGAATACAAAATCCGGCAGATAAAATTCCTGCATAAAAACAGAATTTTTTCGATTAATGAAAATAGTACTAAAACCGAACCGCGCCGAAGTGAGCGCAGCAATGGTAGCAAACAAATCAATTTTATTGCTTTTATTGGTAAAAATAAATTTTCATTGAACAAAATAACTATTCTTTAATTGATATTATAATATTTAAGAGTGCAACGATTATATCAGCTTTTCCTGCCTACAGCCTGTTCTACAATTGCGATTTTCTAGGAAGAAAAGGATTGTCTGAAATATGTGTTATCAGGGAATCGAATGTAATGAAAGCACTATTAAAGAATAAGTTTCGAGAAGTTAACAATTTAAGTGGACTGAATTATTTCGTTCCTCTCATGAAATACTTTGAAAGCAAAAATTTGGGAAAACCAGAGTCAACGACTAGAATTGGCGACAAATCTGACAAAACTGACAATAACGTTAATAAATAGTTTTTTAAAATTGTATAAGTTCAATTCAAAACACACATAAATA